GCCCCTTCCTGCTGTGGTGTGAGCCACGCGTGCTCTCTCCTCTCAGTCACGCTTCCTCCTCGTCATGACTTATCATCTTCCTTCTTCCTTCAGTTATTTGCCAGCAGCACAGCTCGCAATGCCCTCCTCTGCCTCAAGACCCGCTGGGCCCACTGGCGCCACTGGCCATTCATTCTGGGTGAGTGGGCTCCTGAGGCAACGTTGTGCCCTCAGCGGCCGCCGACACACCTGGGCTCGGGCTGCGTCCTGGCCTCAGTCTCCTCTCTCCACGGATCCAGCGCCCTTCACCTTCACGCTTCTACTCGAATGCCGTCCCTCCATGTGAGCTCGTCCCTGGCCACCGCTCCCCCCTCCACCCCATCAGAACCACCATCCCTCTGGGTGGTGCTAACGCACAACCTGACACCAGTGGAGACGTGTGGCGGGCGACAGGACACTTTCCTGACAAACCCAGAGAGCGTCCAAAGAAGCACTTTCTTTTTTTTTTTTCTTTTTTTTCTGTAGAGTAATCCACATTCTGGATTTTTTTAATTGTTTTATTGCTTAAAGTGTTACAAAGATTATTACATATGTCTCCCTTTTTTCCCACCCTTGACAATCCCCTGGCCTCCCCTACCCCCCAGTGTCTTATGTCCATTGGTTATGCTTATATGCATGCATACAAATCCTTCGGTTGGTCTCTTACCCACAATCAGTTTGAGGCAGCTCTGCCTCTGTATCTATTATTGTTCAAAAGTTTGTAATGGTCTCTATTATCCATGAATGAGTGAGATCATGTGGTATTTTTCCTTCATTGACTGGCTTATTTCACTTAGCATAATGCTCTCCAGCTCCATCCATGCCGTTGCAAATTGTAAGAGTTCCTTCTTTTTTACAGCAGCATAGTATTCCATCGTGTAGATGTACCACAGTTTTCTAATCCATTCATCTACTGATGGGCACTTAGGCTGTTTCCAGATCTTAGCTATGGTGAATTGTGCTGCTATGAACATAGGGGTGCATATATCCTTTCTGATTGGTGTTTTTGGTTTCTTGGGATATATTCCTAGAAGTGGGATCACAGGGTCAAATGGGAGTTCCATGTTTTGTTTTTTGAGGAAACTCCATACTGTCTTCCATAGTGGCTGCACCAGTCTGCATTCCCACCAGCAGTGCACAAGTGTTCCTTTTTCTCCACATCCTCTCCAGCACTTGTCGTTTGTTGATTTGTTGATGATAGCCATTCTGACAGGTGTGAGATGGTACCTCATTGTTGTTTTGATTTGCATCTCTCGGATGATTAGCGACTTTGAGCATGTTTTCATATGTCTCTTGGCTTTCTGAATGTCCTCTTTTAAAAAGTGTCTATTTAGGTCCTTTGCCCATTTTTTGATTGGATTGTTTATCTTCCTTTTGTTAAGTTGTATGAGTTCCTAAGCACTTTCAAGACTCATGTCTCACGTGTGCACTTCTTAACAGGGGCATTCGAGTCACACCCACAGACCACGGTGTGTCCTCCACAGGGCGTTTCTCCCGGGACCGAGGAGCCACCGGCCACCCACGTGGCGGCTCTGCCACAGTGCCCGCGTATACCACTTCCCAGCCCTGCCCAATACTGGCCAAGTCCATGGCTTTCTTCCCGCCTGAAGCCCTGAATGGACGTAAAGAAATGAGGAACGCTGCTGTGATCCTATTCTTTACCACCAACTTTTTTAAAATGAGTTTTCTCTGGACCCTTATCAAAAAAGCAATAAGTATTAGTCTAACAATTGTTCTTTACTTTCCCATTGGTACATAAACAAACACTTTTTTTCTTTTTTGTATTAGAGATGTTTACATTTGCACTTTTGTTCTTAACACGGAGACTATAAGTAAGGCTTAAACAGTTACATTTCGAGTCTCTTCTGTTGCCTTTTTACTGGAGGTATTGGGGTGTCACTGGTTAACAAAATGGTGCAGCATTCGGGTACACAGTCCCACAGCACCCGGAGAAGCAAACTTCTACCCCCTCATCCATCTCAGGAAGAGAACTCAATAAGACTTTCCTTCTGTTTATCAAAATTGGTAAAATGTTTATCATTTACTAAATCTTTCACCAGGAATTATGAGGAATAATTATTTTACAATAATGTGAATAGGAAATGCCAAATACAGCTCAAATGAAGCATAGTTATATGAGGCATATATACTCGTTGGTTTCCTCTTTTATCCTCATTTGATTTTTTATCTCATGGGATATAGGTTTCTTCAACTCTGTCTTTTTTTGTTCAACCACAAAATTACCTAAAGAAAACTACATCCCTAGCTTCTGTGTATATGTAGAAGATGGGAAAAGATTACTGTAGGAAAGAAACTGGAGAAAAGGAAAAGATAACGACTGGCCCACCAATGCTCAGCTAACCCAAAAAGAACGAGATGCAGTAGTTGGAATTGAGCTGCACAGTTTCTTCCTCAATTTGCAGCATTTGGCCTTGAGGCAGGTTTGCACAGTGCAAACTGGATGATGATTAAGGGCAATTACACGGTCAATGAGGGCTTTTAGATGAGTCAGCGAAAGGAAAGCATTCCTGGGTCTTAGGCTTCAGTTAGACATTTTGACAGTTTGAATATCTGGCTTTATGGTTAATGATCCAACAACCCTCAACTTCACTCTTTATAGACTTTTTCAGTGCATGGAGGCACATCAACTAAGGTCAAACAAAAGTGTAGACGTAATGGTTTATTTAGTCAATAAGCATTTATTCAAAACCTCACTGCCTGAGGTATTGTGGAGGCTAAATAAGCTCTGAGCTTGACCTTGAGAACTTCAGTCTGTGATGCTGTCACCTACGTACAGGGCTGCAAACATCCCACGGTCACCGCTGACACCAAGCTCATGTCGCCAGAACTGTGTTTCGCAGGCCTCGTGGGTGTCACAGGCGAGGTCCCACACACAGACACTCACCTTTTCCACCCACCTGTCACCACTGCAAACCAACAGCTCCTTTCTGAATCCCTGTGCAGAGTAATTTCATCTCCGGGAATGCGGTCTCTCACAATAGAAACCTGGGCGTTCTTCTCAACTCCTTCTTCGGGTTCATCCAAAAATCCGGAAAGTTCTGATCCTTTGATTTCTGCCTGTAAATAGCTCTTTATTCTCTTTTTCCCTCATCGGCTCTAATCTCACCTCCTGCATGCTCACCGCTCCTCTTCTCCAAAGCACCCACTTGCGCTGCACTCTGCGTGGCTCCCTTCAGCCTGCGGGCCGATGCAGGTGACAGCGGCCATCAGAACCTGGCCCCTCCCCACCCCACCACCCAGCCCCCAGTGCACAGTTCCCATCACATCCAATGTCCTGTCCACCTTGGAGCGCGTTGTCCTCACAGCCCAGAAAGCCTCCTTCCATTTCTCCGTGGACACCCTGCTAAGCCTCTCAGACTGAGACGCTCTCTGTGCAGCCCTCCTGTACCCCAGGCCGAGTTCCGTGTGTGCGTGTCTTTACGGTTGATTGTTAGTTACGTACTTACTCACATCCCTGCCTCCCGTGAAGCTGTGAGCATCGACCTGGGACTCTGGCTAACTCATCTTTGTTTCCAATACATAGAGACTCAACAATGTCTGATGGGGGAATCAACATGTAGGTATACTTGGGTTTTAAAAAGAAATCTGTGAAGCGGTATCTATAACCACACTTCTTAATCATAAGGAAGAAGGGTTTTTCGGGTTTTGTGGACCTAATGCCCTATTTCCATCCCCTTTAAGGCATATCGGGTCTCCTCCCACCACCTTCGTTTCCGCCATTCTAGAGAAGAATCCAAAAGGCCTTAGTGGACACAGTTGAAGAATCTTGTCACAGGACTTGTGACATTTGAAAGAGATACAAATTATACTGTGAAAAGCCAAAGGGGAGAGAGAAAGACCGCTGGCCTGGGAATCTGTAGCCGTTTTGGAGATGCTGTGTTTGTGGGCCTGGCCTGGAGAGGGTCAGGGGGGTCACACTAGGCTTCTCTTTAAATGGGATCCTCAGGTTCCCCGGTTCCACGTGAGCCCCAGGAGTTCCAGCTGGAAGTAGATGGAGAGGGCAGGTGTGGGTGTGGGGGAGTAAGAGTGATGGAGGCTGTGCGGGCCTGGGAGGCCCAGGTCAGACCTCGGAAGGAAGGTGGAGAGTGAGACGAAGCCTGTGCGGGAAGTCAGATCCTTAGGCAATCACTCGCTTACACCTTGTACCCTGTACTGGCCTGTCTGTCTGCCTTTTTTTAGAAGGACGTTCATTAAAGCACAAGTTATCACAGACTTAGTGACTTAAAATAGCGCCCATTTAATAGCTCACAGCTCCATAGGTCGGAAGGCTGGTGGGTTGGCCGGGTTCTTGCCGAAGGTCTCACAACTGAAACCAGGGTGTCAGCCAGGGCCAGCTGGCTCTTACCTGGAGGCACGAGAACAATCTACTTGCAGGCTCATCCCAGTTATTGGCAGGAGGCGGTGCCTGTGGTTGTAGGACGGGTCCTCAGCGGAGTTTATGAGGCCCTTTCCTCCTCAGAGCCAGGAAGGCAGCATCTCTCAAGGAAGACCCCCCTGGCGCCCAAACCTCTGCCTGCCTGCTCTGCCGGCAGCTGGAGAAACTGCTGCTAGAGGAGGCTGCCTGGTTATAACCCTTTAGCTTCCAGTGGGCTGAGCCCTGAACACGGCTGGTTTCCCCTTGTGAGCCCCACCATATGCATCGGCCGGGGCTATGCAGGACTGTTCACCACGCCGCCCTAGGACCCTGCCCGCAGGCCAGCCAAAGCTCCTCTTGCAGCCACAGGGTCCAGGCGGCCTCGCTGTCCGTAGGCGCAGTGTGGGCAGGAATGGCACCTGCTATTTCTCCTTTCCCGCCGGGCATCTGTTTGCACCTGCCCTGTCTCCATGAGCTTCGTGCTTGGGTTTTCCAGTCCTTCTATTCAGTTACAGATTGGGCACACAGGAAGGGGAGGAGACGCCACCCGGTCCCTGTACAGATCTTCTCATGAACCCTTCTCTGTCGCTGTTTTTCCCTCATTTAGTCCAAAAAGCAAACCACCTGGAGCCCCTCCTGTAAGTGAGTGCACGGCAGCCCAGCTGCGAGGCCTGGTGAGAAGGCTGCGGCTCCGGACCGCCCTCTGCGGGAGGCGGCTGGCAGAGGGAGGCCTGTCCTCCGAGGCCAGTCCCCCGACGGGTAAGCCCTGGTCCTCAGGCGCTGGGAGGAGGTCATGGGGGACGCGCATGTTGCAAGTGTTTTAGTCTGGGTCTCTCCGAAAGCAGACCCGCAATGACTTAGGTTCCAATAGTTGACCTCCAGGGTGACCCAGGGAGGTGAGAGCAGGCAGGAGACAGACCAGGAGCTGAGCCGATAAGGGTGCGCTAATGAGAGGGTTACCGGGGCCAGCTGTAACCTGTGGGTCACACAGAGGACTTACCTGAGGAGGATGGAGCTGGGGTCCTTCGCCAACGGAGACTTGCGGCGAGACATGTAGCTGCCGCCCAGCCCTGCAGGCCGCCGGGAGGAACCCTCCAGCCCAGACCAGTGTCCTCGCCCCATAGACGCGCAGGCCGGCAACAGCCTCGCTGTAGCAAGTGTGATTGTAAATGCTCAGAGAACACCGTCATGTCAGAAACTGAGCACACACCCAGCAGGCCATCAACAAACTGATCCCGTAATCCCGGTACCATGGTCAGCCTCCCTAATGATTCCAGAAATGTGCCTTCGGACACTCCGGGAAGCAATCTAGGAGAGCGCCACGCCCACCGCACGCCACGCCCACCGCACGCCACGCCCACACCTCGGTGCCAGGTCTGTGCGGGCAGAGGACCGGGAGAGAGTGGTTGTGCAGAGGCGGTTAAATCAGTCAGATTGTTAACTCCCAGGACGGATCAAGGTTCCCCGCGGTTCTGTGCTGGAAGGTTGCATCGTATCATAGTTTCTTAAAGGGAAGAGGCTAGCATACAGCGTCACTGGAATTTGGTAAATGTGCAGAAAGGGCTATTTTGAACTTTATTTGTCCATCACTTGAAGGACACGTGCGGGACTGGGGAAGCCGGAACGAACACCTGAGGGATGGCGTGCATTCGCGATGTTCCTTTTCTGTTTAATCCAAGCTCTGCCTATTTACGCTCCAAACCATAAGAGAACCACGCGTGCGTTCTAAGTATCCGGGCTGGGACAGCTCCGGGGCAATCCGTTCATGAGCTTGAAACCTGCTGTTCATTTCTAAATTCCAGTGTTTTCAGTACCTGGATTCTTCATGAAAGTCACCATTGTAAATGTCACACACTGCCTCCTCGACCTGTATTAAGAGGGGGAGGTTCTGGAATGTTCTGACTTCAAGAACGCCAAGCTCTCTGCTCAGGAAGCTAAGGTAACCTCCTAACACTTCGCCTTTTCTCCCTACGAAGCCCAGCCCACAGCTGTGCGGTGCGCGCAGGACCCTCGTGGCCCCACGCCACAGGAGCGAGTCCGGCTCCCCAGCAGCATCGACTCCTGCACAGGTGCGTCTCCTCCCGGAACC